CCACATCATCAACACAAGATTTTGCCAAAATGGGTGTCAACAATGCTCCCCCAATTTTAAATGTCTTATCAACCATCAAGATAAGATATTTAAAATTTAACTTAGCACCCCTTTAGTTTAATCACTCCTGCACTATACAGCTACCCATAAATTGTTATTATAGCTTCAATTTCCAAAACCAAAACTGACTGCCTCCAACCCATTATTTGCAAGATAATAGATCAAAAGATAAAAACAAAATAGATAACTAACCAAACCTACAAGACTCTGCTAAAATTAGCAGATCCTTTTATTCCAACACTTGATAGTAAAAGGACTAAAAGATAAACCATTCCAGCTTTAGAACTCGGCTAAGTATGGGTACCTTTTTTCCTCCATTGGCTAAAAAATGGTAGATTGGTACGGCTTCACAAAATGGCCATTGATGAGTCTTTCATGGGCTTCACCATCCAAATCTATCAATTTGTGAGCCCTTTCATGTGATACTTGATGAAACAAGCAATGCCCACCTTAAGTTAGGGACCATTTTTCATATTTTTTACCAGGTGGAATCACAGTCCTCTAAACCATATCTTCTTCAACAAAGGACTTAAATTTCACCCCTTTATAAAAAGCTCTTACCACTTTCCTCTTGTGAACCATGAGGTGGTCAAATGTAGCTTACTGTATTTCACCTAAGTATTCTATCTCGGTAAGAATGGCCTCACTATAATTGACAGGATTTAAGATATGTTGTAGAATAACCTTTGCTGATTTTACATTCAGCTTCATTTACAGGACTGTATCATACCCAAAAGTCCATTGATATGGAGTGATCCCTGTACGTGTTCTTTTTAAAGTTTTGTAGGCCCACAAATCTTCTGATAAAGTCTTATGCCATACATCTTCTTAACTTATCATCCATCATCTTCTCAATGATTTCTATTACCACTTTGTTTTAAGCCTGGTTATTCCCTTGAATTACCTCGGCCTGGATCCAAGCTAAGATCTGAGCCCTATAGATTTCTGCATTTTGTGCTGGTTAATCAGCAGGCTGAAATGGAGCGTATGGATTAACTAACTTTCGTTGGGGGTTAGCGATCACATGCCCCCCGGCAGCTGTTGGTGGTGCAGGTTGGTTGTTTCTCCATTGATTTTGATTGCCCCCCCAGATATTAGGGTTCCCTCTGAGGCACAATCGGTAATGCTTGCGGGCATTTTGCTGATTCTGATTTTGCTAACGTAGTGATGGTGGTTGATATATTGGAATAGTCGACATCAATGGTGTTTTTGGTATTATTGGTAGATTGCCACCGGGTAAACTAGCAGTTTCACTCAGTTGGCTATGCCTTACCCCTGTTATCTATTGCCCTTAAGGGATGTTCATCAATGGCAAAGAAATATGTTGAAGAATTGATTCATGAGCTGCGAGCTTTTAGTTTGATCATGACGACTTTGGGTAGCCGATATTTGAGCCATCATTGCTTCCATTTTCTGATTAATCTCCTCCATTTGGGCTTGTACTTTTTGATTAACTTTTCCCATTTGGGCTTGCATCTTATTACTATTTTCACTAATTTGTGCCTACTGGCCATCAATTCTTCGTATGATGGCCACGAACATCTGTGCTAAAGGAACATCAGATGGTAAAGCTGATTCAGCCATATTTGATCCACCTAGGGCGATCAAATGGTTCTCATCTTCGACATCATCTTCCCATCAAATTCTTTAACCTGGGAGGTATTACAACTTATTTAACCACTGGGTCCCACTGAGGTGTGTCAAGAATGTTGACCCTAAAATCGGTTGGCTATTCAGAAATTTGGTGATGCGGGCATGCCAGAACCAACAATGTGGTTCAAATGGGTGTAGTCAACCTTAGTATCTTTGAGAAAATTGACTATTAGGCAATTGGAGAAGAAAGAGAACATAAAACTCCTCTGTGAGTTCAATTTGCCTTAGTGCAAGGACTTTAATAATGAATGAATTGTTATGATTGTGACAATAGAATAAGAAAGAAAGGAGAGAGAAAGTTATAGAAGAAAGAGATAGAGAGAAAGAAGATAAAAAGAGATTGAGAATAGAAAGATTACTAAAGAGAGAAGTTGAATTAGAGAGGGAGAGTTTGAGAAAGCATAATTACATTAAAATAAAGATTCTGAGGCTGCTGGACCTTTTACAACATTTGCTACTTCCTTGATTTATAGGGTCCTAAAACAACTAATTACATATAAAAAGATATAATTTTTTTCCTAAACAAACTCTATTGGATAAACATATCATATCTAAGGTGCCACGTGACTTTCGAAGAAATTACACATTCTGATAAAATCCTTGTGATACCACTTCCCTGTATATAGATAAATCAACCTCATCACCTAAATACTCTCACTTTATCACTTACATTTATCCATTAAACTTTATCCTAACAAGTGGACTGTGTCTTTATATATTGAAACTATTTCAATTTACGTACCAAATAAGGACACTCCAGCACCTTATTCTTTTCTTCAAAACATTCTACCATTTTATCACCTTGCCCACACGTCACATCATCACCAAAATGGTTGCCACATCATCAACACAAGATTTTGCCAAAATGGGTGTGACCTCTCAGTAAGGTGTTACCTCATTCCCTTTCGTTCCATCCAATCAATCAAACAAACAAACAAACAAAAAGAAAAAAAGAAAAAGATAAGATAAATGAAGGACATTATCTTTTTCCTAAGCATGTATAATTGATCCCTTTTTCTCTCATTTCTATCCAATTTTCTTTTCTCCTGTTAAACGGATCTTAAGAGAAGAAGAAAGATCACACTTCAAATATAGGTTGGATGCTATATGATAATATAAATAGATCCACATTGGAGGTTTGTAGGATAAATGGCCCCTAGTCATTTGTATTCTTTTTATCTTTTCTTTTACTTTTTCTATTTTCATGTTTCTAAGCAGAGCATAGTATGGGTAATCAATTATTTTAATTTTTAAGTCTATAATTTTTTTAATTAATAAATAAAAATGTCTATTGATTTTCTAATGCAATTTATTCTTTCCAATAGAATTATGTTCAATGGTAATATATTTTCATGATTTGCTTGTACGCGGACAATTATTTCCGTTTACCAAGGGTCTTGTGGCCCTGTAGTATCTCCTTTACCTCCGATTTTCTGTTGTACACAGACAGCTATTTTTATTTGTCAAAGGCTTTGTGGTCTAGTGGTATCTTCTCTACTTCCCAAAGTGAATGGTGAGAGTTTGAGTCTCTATAGGAGCAAAATTGGTGTCTGAGTTGTGTGTGTGAGTTTATTGGCAAAATAAAATATATAAAAAAAGAAGAAGAAAAAGAAGCTATTTCCGGTTCGGGTTGTTTTTCAAAAAAAGAAATGAGATGGGTGTTTTCGAAGTTAGTGCATCAGAATCTTCAATTTTTAATTCTGCATCATTATAATTTAAAGACTAAAATATATGTGGATTTTTTAATTAAATTTATGCCTCAATTAAATTTGATTGAATATTTCAAGACTGAGCCTAAAATTTCAAACCATGACTAAAATACATGTGGATTTTCTAATTAAATTTATGCTTCATTAAATTTTGATTCTTAAATTCTTAATGTAGATCAACCTCGCAATATATATAAAATATCCATTATAGTATTTGACATTTCGTTCGTTACGCTCTCATCATAGATTACTCAATTTTGGGTCCCCCACAATGCAACAAATAAATGTTTCAACTTTTTTATTTCTTTTTTAAATAAATGATTGTGATAAATCTAAATTGTAGATGAACATAAATACAGTGAAAATAAAAAATAATTATGTGATATTCAACAATAATTCAAGAGAATGCATTCTATTAAAGCTAACATTAGCTTAATTTGGATTAATTTATTAAATATCTCAAGATTTCATAACTCTTGTGACAAGGGAACTCTCTTAAGAGTAAATACTCCCTTTTGTATGTTTAATATTTTGAAGCAAATTAATTTCCTAAAATTTTTTTTGTAACTTTTAGAAATTTCTATTAAGTTTTTAAATTTTTTTATAGTTAGAAGTAATTAAATCTAAACTAACTAAAGATCACACTAATTTTTAGTTTGGAAATTGGCCAATAAGGCAATCCGAATTAACCCGAACTTTTATCCCAAAATCTCTGTCCAAGATACAAACCTGAGTTGAATAATTTAAAGATCTATTGAGTTCGATTAAGTAGTTAGGGTTGAAAGTAAGATTAAGATTAGATTAGAATTGAACATTTCATAATATGTCGGATTGAGCCTAGTTGTATCTCAAACTTGCGCAAGTTGCAGTCCCATGCAGAGTCACTTGCTGGGCCTTTAAGTGCAATGTGGACACCGTTCTTCCCACGTGATGGTTGGGTTGTGGGTGCATTTGTTTTGAGAAATAATTTTGACATTGTGGCCTGAGCAACATGTAGGGCTCCATATATTTTGAAGTAAAATATTGTTTTTAGAAAATATTTTTCTTTTCCAGGTAAAATATTTTTTTATTTTTATTCTTTCGGCATTTGGCAAAGATCTATGTCAACCAAAAATCAGAAAATAAAAATAAAAAATATTTTACATCCAAACAAACGGAATAGTAAAGTGAAAAATATATTTTTGTGCAAAGACAAGTTACATTAACATGGGTATCCCTTCTTATGGAGGTTCTAGCATATGTCAACTAAACACCAGAAAATAAAAATATATATATATTTTCTAAAAAATATTTAACAACCAAAAAAACCGAACCCTAAACTGAAATATATATTTTTGCGCAAACACAAGCTACATTAACATGGGTATCCCTTCTCACGGAGGTTCTAGCATATGTGATGAAAAGAAAAAAAAATAAATAAGAGGATCTATTCACCCCTTCTAAATCTATAGAAACATAAACTAACATTACAGTCAACACACAAATTTAAGGTGAAAGTGCTTGTCAGTTGTACATATGAAGAATGTGACTATAATAAAAGTCAGTTGTACATATGAAGAATGTGATTCTCACATCAAGCTTATGAAAGAATTGTGCGAGGAATGCTCAAGGAATTCATAATTTGTGAAAATAAGATAATAATTAATGATTCTGAACAAAAGAATTACAGTCATTCTTTCCAAAAACAAGAATTGAACCTCCTTCACCCTGAACAGCTAATAATTTGACCACCACATAATCTGAATCACACCCAAAAACATTTATATGGTCATGACATCCTTTGCAAAACTATTGCACCTATTGCAATCAAATCAGTAAACCTCAAGTCGGCAAGTCTTCGATCCCCTGGGTAGCCCCAACAAGGTATTGCAAATTATCTTTGACTGTTGACCCCCCGCGGAGCGTATTACCATTCTCTCCAAAACTTTAGCATTCTTCAAGAAATACTCTGCAATTTTCAATTCGTCACTACACCAAAAAAAGTACCTAATTTCAATTACCTTGAGGTGAAACAACACGCAATATGGCACATTCGTTGGTGTATGCCGGAGAAGTTGGTTATAACCCCCATAACATAGAAGTTCCTAACCAGAAAAGAAATACAAATACTCTCAACCATTGAATAATTGCACAAATAACCTTTAAATTTAATCAAAACAAAGTAGTTAGCTCCTCACCTTACAAACAAGGGTTTCCAGTTTTGGTGCGCGCTCAAGCAATTCAGGAAGCAATTCCCATCCAGCAGTAACACCCTCATCAGGCACACCCAGCTCCAAATAAGTCAATTCAGGAAGCAATTCCCATCCATCAGCTGAAATGTTAAAAACATTGATATTTTGATCTAACCAATAACATTCTAATATCGCCAAATCCTCTAGCACAGGGCAGCTTGAAACGAGCCTCTTAGTTGAGTCACCATCCGAAAACACCATTTTGTCAAGATGGAGGATTTTAAGGCTGGGGAGACGGACCATGGTTGGAACATTGAGAACAAGCATATCAGCTAGTTTTAGTACCACTAGAGTATTACAAGTCCAAAGCTCATGAGGCAGCATTACATGGCAATTCATAAGGAGGCTAATATGGACTTCACGAACATGACGCAATGTTGCAATAGAAACCCATTGACTAAGATGCGAATTATCACATATGTTTTCACACGTCAGACGGAATTTATGCATATCTGAAACACTTAGTAGCAGCACTCGATAGACAAAATTTATGAAACTTTTGACTGACTGATCATCAAAGTAGAAATTAGTGATTGATTTCCAATGATACTTCCATTTGGTTGATAAGACGCTAGTTTTCAATACATCTTTTGTTGGCAGGAAGGAGAGTATATGCCCAATTAGACAGCTTGGCAAACTGCTAATCCTGTCTTCTTCTTCTTCTTCACTTCTCTTGTTTTTGATAAGCTTTCTACTAGAACCCATAATTTCTGTGATGGTATATATATATCAACAGAAGAAAAATATATATATATATGCATATATAAAATGATAAAATAATTTTCTCGACAATTCGAAGAGTTTATATATTAGTTATATACCTATGAGGGTTTTGAACTCAGTGATTTTACACAATGGTTACCTGCAAGGAAAATTGATTATATGAGTGCGTGTATATATATACACATATATTGATTATATTAGACACATATACATATTAAATTGACAACCCCAAATGCAAAATTAAGCTAGGGTTTAGGAAATCAGCCACCTGAAGAAGGAAGAAAGCGACTAACTAAATTAACATTCATGCATATATGAGTGCGTGTGTGTGTGTATAACCTAGACAAATAATGCATACAGTCCCAAATGCAAAATTAAGCTAGGGTTTAGGAAATTAGTCACCTGAAGGAGGAAGAAATCGACTTAGTACACACTTGAATACTGCAATAGAGTCAATAACCGTAGAGATAGAGAGACTATCGGAGAAGATGCTTCAAAATCTTTCCTTCTCTCTCCCAGTACTTCCACAATTTCTCTCCACAATTTCTCTCTCGCTTTCACACTTGTGCTCTTTTCGTATTGAAATTCGAAACACGCACACAACTTTTTTCTGTGCTTTTGTGTCTTTTCGAATTGACTATTTCACTACCCAAGACAATAGTGCAATGATGCATTGAAATTTGAAACTACGTTGTGTAGTCAGTCATTAACTTTATATAAAATTTACGGTCACGTCAACATTTCATTATAGATTTATTTTAAAAACTTTAAATTCTTATTATACACTCTTTTTTTTTTTATATATTATTATTTTTTAAATAATAAAATAACTTTTATTATTATTTTTTTTTCTTAACAATTTTATTCTCAACAATTATAATACTAACCGTTATAATTGTTTGCTCCGATTTAGATACAAGATTTTAAAAATATATATATATTAAAAATAATAATATTACATATATATATATAAAAGAAAAAAAAAAAAGTGCATTACATAGCTTCCTACAAATAAAATAAAAAATACAACTTAGGAAAAAAAAAATACATTAATACTTCCACACATGAGAAAAAAAAAAAAAAAAAAAAAATAGTAAACATTACAATTAATTGCTCTTTTTTGCATAACGCGCCATAATTTCATTTTGTCTTTTTCCTAACGGTTATATTCCCAACGGCTATATTATGTTTGTCTTATTCTAACGGTTATATTATGTTTGTCTTTTTGCTAACGGATATATTCTGTTTGTTTTTCTTCAATAACTATATTCTCAATGGCTATATAAACCACTTATTCTCTCATTTTTTCAATTACCAAGTCCACTTCTTTACATCTTCGAATTCATTTTCTCTTCTTTGAGTCTTTATCTTTATTATAGAAAAAAAAAAATAGCTTCATCATCACAATCTATTCCAGTGTCTGGGTCAATTTCTCCATTGAGTTCCTTTTCATCTTCTGACGGGGAAGATTTTTTTGAAGAACGTCAGAAAAGGATGAATGCAATGATGCAACTGTTATCGCCTGAGAAGGTAAAGGCATTCTTTCGACGTCGTAAGAGAAGATATATTAAACGTGATCGAGAGGAAGCAGCCCAACGGCTATTCCAAGATTATTTTGCTGAAAATCCCACTTTTCCACCCGAGATGTTTCGTAGACGATTTCGGATGCGCCGAGAGTTGTTTATTCGCATTTTAAACGGTGTTTCAGCATATGACGAATAGTTCATCCAGAAACCTGATGCCCTCAGTCGTATGGGTTTCACTCTTATACAGAAGATGACAACTGCAATACGTATACTCGCATATGGAATTTCAGCAGATCTTTGTGATGAGTACATAAAGATTTCTGAAACCACTGCGGTTGAAAGCTTGAAGCAATTTTGTGATGCTGTAATTGCGGTGTATGCAGGGCAGTACCAACGCACACCGAACGAAGAAGACATTGCACGTCTGCTTCGAGAAGGGGAAGAAAGAGGCTTCCCAGGTATGCTTGACTCTATAAATTGTATGCATTGGGTATAGAAGAACTGACCTACAGGGTGGCATGGCACACACAGGGGAAGAAATCATAAGCCTACCCTCATATTGGAGGCGGTTGCATCGAAAGATCTGTGGATCTGGCATGCTTTCTTTGGTATGGCTGGTTCAAACAATGACGTGAATGTCTTAGATCATTCCCCAGTATTCAATAGCCTGATCAATGGCACAATGCCTCCGATTAATTACGAGGTAAATGGACATCGACGTACAATGGGGTATTACTTATCTAATGGTATTTATCCCAATTGGGCAACTTTGATTCAGACAATCCCACACCCAACAACTATCAAAGAGAAATTATTTGCTAAAAAACAAGAAGCTGTTAGGAAAGATGTTGAATGAGCGTTTGGCGTGTTGCAGATCAGGTGGGCTATAACGCAAGGACCTGTGTATTATTGGGATAAAGAAGATTTAAACAAGATAATGAGAATGTGCATCATATTGCATAATATGATCATTGAAGATGAGAGTGGACACATTTTGCAATGGACACCTCCGCCGGATGAGCCAATATCCCTCCCACAATACATTCGAAACCCAACAATATTGGCGGCACACATTTTCGATCGTTTTAGAAGAATTCGCAATAGAGCAGATAATGCTTATCTCAGGAGACATTTGATGGAACATTTGTGGAATTAATTTGGTAATGAATATGTTTAAATTTGGTGTAATCGAATAAAATGTACTTTTTATATTATTATGAGAATTAATTAAATCAGTACGTGGTGAAGATGTTTAAATTTATTAATTGAATAAAATTTTATTTGTTATATTATTATGCAAATTTATTAAATTATTATGTAATAAATAAATAAATAAAATTGATAAGTTAAAGAGTACAAACTTTTTTTTAAAAAAATAATTAATTAAATCATTATACAAGTTATATGACTCCTTTTATTTATTTACAAAAATGACTTTTTTAATTAATTAAAATTTAACTATCTTTTCATTAATTAATTAATTCAATACACATACAATAATTATTTTACACACTATCATACAATATCATATAATATCATTTTATATCATTATCTCACACATGGCCCACACAAGACCCACTACGTCTGTGGTTTTCTGCTCATTGCCAGGCGCCACTTCAATCCTTATATGTGAAGAGCTGGGTGTGTAATATGAGTTGGGCCCCACTAGTGTGTAATCCACACAGGAGGGCAATTCATTACACACAGACACACGTATTGTACACTTCATTGATACGCTGGGGTTGATCTTAATTATACTGTCCTCCCCTAATTTTTTTTTTTTTTTTACAATAATTATACTGTCCTCCCCTATTGTTTTTACAAATTACATGCACACAGATCATTTAGGCTATATTTGGTACGGTGAGAAAGGAGCAAAAGTATAAGATTAGTTAGGAGTGAAATGGAGGGAAAGGAAAGGAAAAAATAATTTTAATCCCCTACCGTGTTTGGTTGATTAATGAAGGAAAAAAAATGAAATGACAATAATCATGTTTGGGAAATGAAAAGAAAAGAAAATATTTTAGTAAATTTACTATTATGCCCTTCAATATTTTAAAATATAAATTTATGAAGCCTCAAAATTTATAGCCCAGGAAAAAAAAAGAAAAACAACAACAACAACAACAACAACATTTTTTTAGGGCAAATCATTTCAGCCTCCCCAATCCACCTCCATCTCTATTATCGTTCTTAACTCTGAACTTGCCTCTCTCTCTCTGTGCAACTACAAACTACAAAATCTACAAGAATTTAAAGTTCAAAACCCATATATTTCAGTTTATTTATCTGTCTACAAGAATCAAAAGTTCAAAACCTATTACTTATATCAAAACCCATATCGGCATATCATTTCAGATTGTTAAAAAAATCAAAACCCATATCTTTTAGTTTCCATCGCCCGCTGCTTTAGTTCGTTTCGCCGTTTGCAAGCTTCAGCCACTGGCCTGCCTTTTCTCAACTCTCTTACCCCCCTCTTTTTGTAACTGCTAACTTGTATGTATATATGTGATACCCCTCGGATCTGAGACACGGGTTGATCAGGCCCAGGCCCAAACCCGAGGGAAATATCAAACAATTAATATTTTAAAACGAACATAGATTACAAAATGAATTAAGAAATAAATAAAAGCTGAAACGAATTCTAAAATAAAATCCTTAAATAATAAAGATTAAATAACCTATCTCCAAAAATCTCCAGGGTTATAACTTGGGAATCCATCTCTAGTGGACCCCTAATAAAAATCCCAAACTGAACGAAAATAAATAACTGAAGATAAAATCCAAATCTAATATCTGGAAAGAAGTCCTACGTCGTCGGTAGAATAGAAGATCGTCTCTGTTCAGCCTGAACAAACCCTAAGACTGGAATCGTCAGATACCTGAAAAATAATAAGTAGGTTAGGCCCACGAACAAGTTTTAACCTACTGCAATCCAAGCAGAGACTCGATATGCATATACACTCTAACCAACTCAACAATAGCTAATAGTCCGTAAGTATATATATAGTCACACTAAAGGACTCTCACTGATCTACAGGTCGGTCTCAACCTGAATAGAGGTAACATGCTAAAACACACACGAAGTGGGCATGTGTACCTAAGCCTAAAAAGGGTACACCTCCAACCATTGTAGTCAGCTACGCATCCCAATGTATATAGCTCCCTAACCAACGACTCTGAGACTCAGACTCATATCGTGGTACCATAAAAATATATTTAAAGTCCTATCCTATCCATTCATAAGAAATCCAATTGGCCATTCAGCTTGTGCAGCTTCTTTGACTCAACCTACATAACAAGTAATCCAGCTAGTCATTTAGCTTGTGCAGCTTCTTTGACTTAGCATATATATAAGTAGGATTTATTTATAATCCATTCCCTTATTCCAGTATAGGTTGAATTTAGTATTTTTGAAACTAAACCATTCCTGGTATGTCATCCTCCCATACCGGTACATACAATCCAATCCATCCAGCAGTTGATAGAATAAAAACAAATTATAACTATCAACTAACCTATACAATCCACAATTGATAACAAAACATTAAGTACAAACATCAATTGTTCCAAATTAAGCATTGTTGGTTTCCTTGATGGAGTCGCCACAACCAACAAAGCTTGAAAGTTGTGTGAGAATTTAGGAGGTGGCCAAGTTTTACATTTATAGAAAGCCATTACTACCTTTCTCTATATAAAATATAGATAGGGTGAGTAGGGATCGTCCCAAGGGATTATACGTGTTAGAATTTCAACTTCGACTCTAGCGTACCAAATGATTGCAAAAGAGAATTGGGTTGGTTGATTACTTCTAGAAAAGAATTAATTAAAATGCAATTAAAATAAAACTAAGTAGAGATAGGGATTTAAGAGATCAGAAGAGAGGACTTAGGGTGTTGGAATCACCACTAAGCTTGTGTAATTAACCACTTGCTTTCCATTAATGGGGAATACATTGTTGTGAACAAAATTGGTTCGATTAGCAAAGGTGACTCAACAAGTGTATAATGTCTAAACAACATGTGAAAGGCCACAATATATTTATTGGAAGAGGAATATATTGTCTAGACAACATGTGAAGAGAACAAAATATCAAATCAAGTCATTAAACATTTCATTAAGCTCATAGTCCAAATAATTCACAAGGATGACTTAGTTAAACATGTATTGTCTAAACATCATGTGAGAGGCCACAATATATCTATTGGGAGAGGAATAAATTGTCTAAACACATGTGAAAGATACAACATATCATAACTAGTCATTAATCCTTCATTAAGCTCAAAATTCCATTACACCACAATATTAGAGCACATGCTTCTTACATTCAAAAGCATGGAACATCAAAGAACAAGCATGAATTGTCTCCCCCATCTAACACTACACTACAACTACACTACTAGCATGAAAATAAACTAAGGGAGAGGTACAATCCATCAAGGAATAAGTATGAACCATCAAAAGACATAACAAGAGCATTCCATTAAGCATTAATGTCTAGCCATCACTAGATTCTCAATCAACCACACATAGACATGCAATTAATATAGAAAAACTAGTGTAGAGATCAATTCCCCAAATAATCACACATAAGACAACATGTAATTAAAATAGAGAATCAATGGAAGAATTAACCCATATGAATCATGTGAGACATAATTTCTAATTTAATCACACATAGACATGTAAATAAACTAGAGAATTAATAGGAAGAATTAGACCATGGAAATCATAAAAATATACCAAGATTCATGAAATTCACAAGGCTAGAACACTAATCACAACAATATATATAAAAATTCCCAAAAATAGAAATACAAGGGTTTAGATTACACAAGACTTAGGGCTCATCCAAGCCCTAAGTGTAGATCTAGTCAATCATGGAGGAGGTGGATGTAATCATGGAATCAAGCTCCAAACATGGCTCCATCTTCTTCTTCCTCTTCTGTTTCTTCTTCTTTGAAGCTCTAGAGATGGAGAGATAGTGGATTTAGAGATGTGTTCTTGAGATGTGCCTCCACTTCTTTCTTTTCTTCTAACCCTAATCTTTAACTTTTCTAGAGAGAGAAATAAAAATTACAATGTAGAAAATAAAATGATAAAAAGCCTAAAGAATCCTCCTTTACAAATGGGTCACTTCCCTTTATATATAGAAGGTCATTTTCTTAGTCACTAAGTCTAGAATATATGCCCAAAAATATCTAATCCCGCAACTTTTTGGTAAGTGAACTTTTGGGCGCACACGGAAAAAGTGACAGCTTGCTGCCAGCATGTCCAGTTCGATCGATCCAACTTATTTTCGATCGATCCAACTTTTTTGATCGATCTAACTTATTTTTCGATCGATCCAACTTTTCTGATCGATCCAACTTATTTTCGATCGATCCAACTTTTTCTGGGATCCATCCAACTTTTCAGCTTTTTAGTATCAGCTTCTTTTTGCTCCAAATCAGCCTCTTTTTGTTCTAGATCATCGCTAAGACTTAGTTTGACTCCAAAAAGGCCTTAAGAACTCATTTTTAGCCCATTTTAACATTATTGACCTGAAATAGATAAAAACACAAATAAGTACTAAAACGGATAAATAAGATAGATAAAGGTCCTAGAATACTCAAGCTTAAGGGGTTTAAATGTGTACTTTTCAGCGCTTATCACACCCCCAAACTTAAATATTGCTAGTCCCTAGCAATGAACTACGAAGTAATGAATGAAATGAACAACTAAACAACTATGAACTAGAAAACAATAAAATGATAGCGCCACTTTCGTAGGTAACACGATTGCATTTAACATATGCAACAAATCTTTTAAACCCCTAGGTTACCCCTAGTGGACGAGTGAAGTCTCGTGAGGGTT